TGGGATGAGAATACCCTTGTGGGTAGAAAGGCTGTGTGAAATTCAATGGAGATGTAAAGTCTACTCATATAATTGTGGGAAAGTGGCAGAAGACACCTGGTCTCTGAAGAATTCAGAGTTGAGTTAAAACAAATGAAACAACATGAAACAAGGTCTCCCTAACAATGTTATTCCAGGAGATTCATCGAAACCCACTTTCTCTTCGTATCCACAAAAATTGAACTACCAATCGTCTTATCACCATAGACGAAATAGGGTTAATACATGTCATTTCTATGATCTACTGTTAGTCGCGAAAAACTATTTATTTCAGAAAAAAATAGCAAGTCACATGTTGTTTCATTTGTTTTAACTCAACTCTGAGTTCTTCAGAGACCAGGTGTCTTCTGCCACTTTCCCACAAATCATATGAGTAGACTTTATATCTCCATTGAATTTCAGACAGCCTTTCTACCCACAAGGGTATTCTCATCCCAACTGGTGTGGAATGTAGATGCGATCTCGTCATTGTCTTGAACCATGACAATGCAGCGTTGATTATTCATGGCAATATGGCATAGTGGCCAGCGAGTAGGGAGCATGTGATGCATCATCATGGTTTGAGTTCAGCCGTGGGTGTTGATCAGACCAGTCGAGGCAATTTCGAGTCTGCAGTCTATCCAGTTGGGATGAGAATTGCTTTTTGGCAAGTTAGCCTATGCGAAGTGTAATAAAGATGTATGGCCTATTCACATGATTGTGGAAAAATTGAACTACCAACCTTAGACGAAATAGGGTGAATACATCTCATTTCTATGCTCTACTGGTAGTCGCGAAAACCCATTTATTAAGAAAATAATAGCAAGCCCCATGTTGTTTCATTTGTTTTAACTCAACTGTGAGTTGGTCGGAGACCAGGCGTCTTCTGCCACTATCCCTTACGTCACTTACGGTCTGGCCGGAGACGATTCCGTCCGATTGTAGAGGCGGCCAGCTGGCGGCTCGAGGCTAGGCGAGCCGGAGTGAAGTGAGCAGACTTGGCGCGGCGTACATCATTGGGGGTTTAGTGGAGCCGAGGTGTGCGGCCGAGAGATGCAGGCCGACGCACAGAGTTGCTGCCTCCGTCTGGCCTGGCGTGAGTAGACCGACTGTACCGGTCGCTGGGCCGGCCGACGCCAGACCGGAGCACGGTTCGTGGCTGGTGTCGGTTGGACCGAGAGCAGACGACGGGACAGTCAGAGCGGGTTTGTAGAAGCCGTTGATTGGCGCAAATTGTGCTCCCGAGTACAGACAGGCCAATTGTGGCAGAGCCGAGTTGAATTGGATCGCCATCTCGCCCGGCAACCCGCCACGGCCCAGATACCCCGTCGCCAGAGCCGGCCCCGAGGACAGCGGGACCGGCATCAAACCGGCCTCGTCTCCACCAGCCCCGACAACCACGGACGAGCCGGGCTGACCGAGAGGGAGCAAGCCAAAAAGACCGGGAATCAGACCGTCCGCGAGAGGCGGTTGTCGCTCGTCCGGCTCCAGGTTGCCCGCTCCGGCCTGCAGCCTCCTCGCCGTCCAACCCGGCAACTCCGGCCGCCCCGTTGCCCTCGGAGCCAAAAGGCCCGTGACTCCGGGGCAAAAAGCGAATGTACCAGAGTTGCCATTCCCTGTTGCCAGGCCGACAGTTGCCGAGCTGTCGGTCGGCGCGCCTGTGGGACAGACGACCGAGTCCGAGAAGACGGGCACTCGCAACAGGCTTGAATGCGTCTTCGCGCCGACAAGCGTACCACACGCTTGCAAGGCAGCGGGGTTGGGCATGTTGCCCATGTTGCTGTTGTACGGCTGTTGGTGAAGTAGGTGATTGTGGTTGCTATCGCCCGAGGTTGTGGAGCAAGAAATGCTCATGCTGGCGTCGAGGCTGATGGAGTTGGCGCTGGTAGGGCTGTGGTTGTGGTAGTGACAGGGCATACTGAAAGGCGGCAAGGAGTAGTGATGATGCTCGTCGGTGGGGGGGACGGAAAACAGGCCGCCAGACGCCATCGGGAGGGCAAGAGAGCTCGGACGCGTCTCGGACGTCGGCCCCGGCAACAGAGGACTCGGCTGACCTGGTAACAAGCCGGCCGGATGCGGAAGGCAGATGGACAATTGGCCGGCGGACGGCGGCACGAGGAGGCCGGCACTTGGGCTGCCCGAGGAGCCGAGGAAGGCCGGCATCAGGTTGACGAGACCGCTTTTGAACGGGTGGGAGATGGGAATAGGAATAGAAATGGGAATGGGACTAAAAATGCGGATGGGGGGAGGGGTCAAACGGAACTCTTCAGTCTGTAGCCCAGTCGTCACAAAACCGTCCGGTGAACGTCCTGAACAAGAGCTGTACTTCACCTCCTCAGGTCGTACAAAGTGAATTTTCCCACAATCATATAAATCCATTGCCCCCCAAAGAGTTAATCCCATCTAGATTTGACTTTAGGCCCGACCTCGCCTGAGCCTCAGCAGAACTTCAAGCAGGACTCTAACCCGAGTCGGGCAACGTATAACCTCGACACGTTGACCACGTTGGCCTTTGGGTCACAGAGCAGATGGCAATTTCAAGGCAGGCCAGGCATATTCCCATATCACATTATGTGGTGGGAGTGTCGATATGGCAAAGTTGTATTTGCTATAAAATAGACTATATTAGTTATTCTATAAAAATTGGGTTTCGAAGAATCCCTTGATAGAGTTATGTGGGATATTTTCATTGTGTTTGAGGAGGCGAATGGAAGGGCTTCGTATAGTAGTCTCAAAGAAAACTGTAGGGGGATTGCCTTTAAGCTGTTCTTGTAGATTTGAGCGAATAGATCCCTGGCCAAACCTGCCGTTCGAACCCGACGCATCTTTGCTGAGCTTTCGTCCGTCATGTAACGGACGGGGCTATCTTGCGTTCGTATTTTGTTGAATTGTCGTTAGGCGTGGTCTCCTGCTCTGACGGTGTCCGTCACATGACGGACGAAAGTTCAGCAAAGATTCATCGGGGTCGCAGGGCGGTGAGCCGAGGACCTATTCGCACAACTCTGCAATCACAGCTCCAAGGCAGTCCATCTACAGCTTCCGGTGAGACTAACTTACGAATCCCTTACGCTAGAAACTTCAAACTAAACGAAAGGTACTTCAAGACATATTATTTATTGTTCGTCTTTATGCAGTTTTTATAGACTATCAGTAGATTGTATATATGAGGGTTATTCAAGTTATATTGTTTAAAATCATATAAAGACTGGTAGATGAATTTTAACATTGAAACGTAATGAAATAGTATGGATACATCACATTTATATTATCTATTGGTGGTCTAAAAAAACTACTTATAGAAGAAAAATAAGTAATTGGTAGTTATTGTAAGTATGCTTTAACGACAATCACAATATTTTTTATAAGAACTATGGTAACATTTATTCGTGAGACTTGCTTGTTAAGATTTCGGGAAAATTCACAATCACTTCTCCTTAGCCTTATGCGACCCATGGTGACTACAGTTATTAGTTAAGATCTACTGGTAGTCTCGAAAATCTACTTATTAAGAATGCGAGTAGTAATGTTGATTTCATTGGCAAATCCCAATGATCAACTACTAACATTGGCAACCGGGTTTGATTTTTGTTAGGGGTACCGATGAGATCCGGCAAAGAACGAGATTGGAGTCCAATCTGAATAATGAAAAAATTAAAAATTAATTAGCACTGGTTTATCTCTCCATGCGACCCAAAGTGACTATATTTTGCAACGCATCAACTTCGTTTTTTGCTTACAATTGGCCGCTTTGAGGTAATCTGTTGACCCATTAACCTATAAAGCATGGTTCTGTCAGCGTCTGTCTTGTTTGTGTTCACTTAATTTCTTAGCCATTGGTTGGCAGGTTTCTCTAATAAGAGCCGATAGTTACAGTTAGAGGCTTAAGGTGATGCGATGACTATTAAATGAATTTCCCATGAGCAAATGCGAAGGAGAATCTACGATACTTCTTAAAGGTATAAAGACCAAGATGGTGTGGCCTTATGTGTGGTCGAGTCCCTTTTCGTTGTATAGAAGTTGTTTGACCTTGTTTTCGCAACTTGGTCATAATGGTAGGAAGACTTAAAGGAACGCACCTTGTCCTGAGTCCATTGTATGCATAATTATTTCCAAAGTCGAA